TGGGGACCTTGCCCCTGTTCAAGCTCAACTCGTGGAGGCTTTCGCGTAAGCAAGCTTCTTTTTGCACTTGTTTGCGAGTTCTGAGACTGGATTGACTTGTTGCGTCAGCCAGCACCCCTCAAGGGTAGGGTGACCGTACGCGAAAAGATCTGCAAATCTGTGCAGCAGAAAGCGGCAGCTCTACCTGCCAGTTTGATTTGTGACATACCAACGCGGCTTTGTGACCGTTTTGGCATGGAAGCTTGACGAGTCCAAGACTACACAGCGAGATTGTGGGAGATGGAGTGGCCTCCTCAAAACACTAGCCAAGCTGCGAAGAGGGCAGCAAAGGCTGCCTTACAGCTGCCAACATGTTTTCATGTTTTTCACGCTGGAGTTCGTAATACGTATCAACGCGTCCTCGGCTGAGCACGAGCGCTCAATGAAGAGAGGTGCTCTGAGCTGCCTCGGAGCAGCCGAACAGCACAGAGCCGTCTCCATGAGCCAACAGCTTGCAAGGCAGGTAATCGAGGTCTGCCGAAGAAGATCCGAGCTCTTTCGGCTTTCATGTGCTGGAATTTCACGACATGATATGACATGTTATGAGATTGTGGGATGGGTGTACGGTGTTGGTTCTGTGCGTTCGCGAGCCACCCACGGCCGGGATGAAGACCACAAAATCCATAAACATCCGAGGTCCCTTCCGCTCTCCACATCCTCTCCCACAGTTTCTCACATACCTCCAACCTAGAGCAGGCGCAATTGGTCCTAGAACGGTTGGCCTTGACGGCTTCCACTGCATGAAGCTCACAATGAGGTGCAGGACGTGCAGTATGCTAAGTAGCGTGCAACATCGTGCATATCTCGCACGCGCTTTGGAGACTGGCCCCAGTGCTAGCTGGACATCGGGCTGGGTGGGGGGGCCTTCGAGCGCAGATCGCTCAATATCACGAAATCCCCGATCGGCAAAATAGAATCTTCAGCTAGTTCTGGGAGAGTGTCAGCTCAGCGTTCTTTGGACAGCCTTGGCCCGCAGAGTTGCAGTTGCAGCTTCATTTCGACCCACGCCAAAACGCACGCGTCTCCCGCGTTTCTGCATGTTCCCCTTTATGCCGTATGGGCAGGAGCGAATTGTGGAGCAGCTGCTGATGCTCCTCACACGAATCCGGATAGCTTTACGAAGCTGTGCAGCGCAGCTGCAAAACGAACAGCAAGCTCGGCTTCTTCAAATGATTGCGGACATGCTCGATGAAGGGTATCTTGCTGGCAAAGAGTTTTCAAGTCACCAGTCCCCTGTGTGCTTTGCTTGGCCAGAAGACGATCTGGCAAGGAAAGCCTTCGACCTCCGCGACATACAGAGGCAGATCTTGGCTTTGGGTTCTGCCCCGCAAGTGTTGTGATACCATTGCACCGTTACTTCACTGTCAGGCTCGTCGGTGGCTCAAAGATCGAGGGCCTCCGTCGCAGCACTACTGTGGCGTCAAAGGAGTCCAAGGTGGACCAGACTCCCAAGCGTTTCTGCAGCGTCCCGGCCAAAAGCCGCCAGGCCCGCCGCAGCAAGACTCTAACAGGAAGATCCTAAGCCAGAGAGCTGACAAGAACGTTAGCTGTTGACGAGAAGGCCCGTATCTCACCCTAAGGGCCCCTCAAGAAAACCAGCCTTCAATTTTCTAGAATTTGGAAATCGAGCCGCTCGGTTTGCTCGTTTCGCCGTTTGACAAAAATGAGAGCTTCCAATGGCTTCTAGACTTCACGGTAGTTGTTGGGGTGCTTGTCTTTCAAGTCAAGCGGTTTCAAGCAGTGCTGACATCGTGGAGTACCTGGGGCCTACAGTCCTATAGGCTGCTCGCAAAATTGTGTCCGGAAATGACCATGGGCAGTGTCTGTTGCCAGGGGGCGAAGAATGGCAACGTGGCCTCGGCGGTGGTTGCAACAATTGTCAGATGCTCAGAATGATACTGTTTGATACATAGTGATGCATGCAACGAAGCCGATGGGCTGTTACTGTCTGCGAGGCTGACCTGGACAAATCGAACCGCAGCCATGGTCGGGATGTTCTTGGCCAAAGCTCACGCAACACCCATGTGTCGCATGCGGCACAAGCGGCACAAGCGGCACTAACGA